TTTTGGTTGCCGCTTTCCTTTTTCTCCTCGCAACCACTAGGTTGTGACAGGACAACCGACGTAACCATGAGGCTGCACCTCACTACCCGACCAATCGCGAACCGTGCGACCTTGCGGCTGTGAGGCCATGCCCCAAAAATTTTTAAAGCAAAAACCTAGATTAAAAAAATTGTTTTTTGAATCCTAAATCCATAATTTTTTTTAGTTTTGTTTTAAAAAAATCCAAAAATAAAAACAAAAAAGCCATATATTTCCATACACTGAATCCAAAAAATTTACCATAAAAATTCGTGTACCAAATTCGAAAAAAAAATTCAATCCCAATTATCTAATATGAGGTGGCTCTAATATTATTTGTAGATAATAAAACATATCTAAAATGATTTTGAATAAAATCAACATTCTCATATCAAATCAAAGGGATCTAAAACTAAAATAGAAGCATACCTGAATCTATAACAGAAGAAAACTGCACGTCCTATAGTAAATCTTCCAATTTAGCACGCAGTCATTTGAAATTCTCTTATTATCTCTATTTCTAGTGATGAGACATAGAATACAAAATTTTACTTGTAATTTAGGGACTATAGTAATAGATAAACATGTCTGTTAATTTTTTTTTATTTCTAATTTGACCAATTACAAAATTAAAAATTATAAATTTTATCTCTACACATAAAAAAAACTCACACTTTATACACATAAAAAGAAAGTTCACACTTTAATTTGATTCATTAATACTCAATATACCATTAATCATATTAGATTACTTTTAATCGAACCCACGTAATTTGATAATTTTTTATGTATAATAATTTATACATATAAGCTCATATGGTAAATTTAAAATTCAATAAAACAATGTTGGTATAATGATGGTGTTGGTAGTATGAACAATAATAATATTGGTACCAATGATGATGATAGTGGCAAGCAAAAAAAATAAACAAAAAATAATAATAATATGAGTTGTTGTAACATAAGTGAGAGTGACAATGACAACGACATTACGATAGTTGATTTCGTATATTTATGAAGAGATATATTTAAAAGATAATAACTAGAAACGGTAATTTTAACATTTTTGAAGTATTAACTATGAGAACAATATTTATTTAGTTATAATAAGGTGAATAAGACTATTCATCCTAATATTTATAAAGTATCTCTATATTTTATAAAAATAACCATAAAATACTACAGGATAAAAAACTTCATTTATCATACGTTAATTGATGTACCAAACATAAGTTTATGTTATTTACATTCTTGATGCTTTCTCTTACTATATTAGTTATTTTTTTTTGTAATTTATCAAATAAAGTTGTTTATTGGATAATTATTTTTTTATTATATGATGTTATGTGACTTATGTAATGCACACCAACTATTATTTAATGTATATAAGACAATGTCTTTCTTTTATATAGATTACATTATTATATTTTAAAAAGTATTAACAAAACTTTAGTTACATTCAAACTTTATATTCTAATTTATCTTTATTTTTTTTAAATTTTAAAAATAAAATATTATAGAGATTTATTCGTTTACATATAGTTTTTAAATTTTATTATGACAAAGAAGTATAATTTCATTTTTTTTCCAAAGTTAGTGTTCATAAAAATTTTCTAAAATTTTTATCAAATTTACTTGTAAATTTATTTTATTTTAAGAAGAAAATGATAAAAAAATATATACAGTTAAATATTAAGTATTTATAGAATATTATGTAAAATATTTTATTAAATCACATCAATTTTAATAAAATTCAAACATTATTTTATATAACTAAATATTTTTCTGTCATCTAAATAAAATTACCTATTTTTCTGATTTTCCATGTATAAATTTAAATGAAATGGAAAACATTTTCTCATGTTAATTACCAGAACCGAACCCTATTCACGACTGTGCCTTCTCACAAAGCTTCCAGCTTTCTCCCTCCCAGTTTCATTCTCTATTCAAATCCCGACCCTACACGCGTTCGCTAACATATTGCTATCATGCTTTCTTAGTTGAACTGTGAAAGCCTTTTTCTTTCTCAAAAAACAATGGTGGGAATCATGAATTCGAATTCGAGGGAAAAGCTGGCGAGTCTGGTGAACTCGGTTAAGAGGGCCATGGACTTGCATTCGAAGCTTGAATATTTGCGTCTATTGAAGCAAGGTTTGCCGCATGAGGGAACCATTTTTCCTTCTGAGTTTCTACCTCTTCTCTTCAACCTCCTCGCCGACGAATTCGCTCCGGTTCGCAAGTTTGTCACTGAGTACGCTTCTCGGAAAACCCTAATGGGCATAGCTATGATTTCACTTTCTTTTTCTTGTGGTGATCTTTTTTATTTCTATTGCTAATACGGTTTTGTTGACAACTTTGCGGGGATAAATGGAGTGTTTGATCTCCTTTAATTTTGAATGGCAGCTCCTGGGTTTTATTCTTGTTATTTTATTTTCTTGACAACTTTAGTCTTCTTCATGTTTGATTTGTCATATTTAATGTTGATGCAGTTTGATTAAAGAAGGGCCACTTTGGAATTAGAAGATAGAAATTACGGGCATTACTGTTTATTGCGTCTAGGAATTCACGTGGTTTGCTCTTCCATGGTGGATAATAGAAAACAGTGAGTTGAACAGAATAGAGAGAAACATATGGCTTTATTCTTCATTCGATAATGGATCCGCTTGCTGGTCTAGATTCTTCATATTGGCTTAGTTAAGCCTGTTTATACTCCTCTTCACCCCTTTTAAAGACCCTTGAAATTGTTTTTGGAGGTTATAGAAGTACCAGTTTATAGGCTGTGCCAAGCTGGTTTGTAAGGAGTAAACTTTTCAAACATGTATTAGATGATCTTTCCCCTGCCTGTTGCTGTATACCTGGTATTTCCAAATGCAAATATTCCTTATCACCAGTTAATTGCTGTTTACTTGCAGTGCTCCATCCAATTCTCTAGCTGTTGAGTTTGAGCCGTCACTTGAAGATTATATGGATGAAATTTGTTATACACCCAATACATCAGTCATGGTGGTTCCCAGAATCATCTCTTGCCTGTTTTATTTTCTCTAGCTAGAAGACAGGAGGTTACACTGAGTGATCTTGCTTCAATCTTATTTGCACATGTGGTTTGGTATGTGGAGCTCATTATGCTTAATGGTGGGGAGTCGATGAAAATGTTAGATTCCTTCATTATCTTTCAAGGTGTGGCGTTCCTCTTATTAGGGATGATAGTCTACTTGGAACCTGAGTTCAAATGGTTCTTTTTCAGTTAAATCCTTTTATTCTCACCTCAATAACCTTCCACCAATTATTTCCCATGGAGTTTTTCTTTGGAGGCTTGTTTGGAACATAAATATGTATCCTAAAATTGCTTTATTTATTTATTTTTCTTGGGAGGTAGTTAGAGGGATAAATTGTGACATTCCGATATCCGTTGGGATAAAGGTGTCCGATAGCTGAAAATATATGAGTGCATAAAGAATTATACAGCAGAGAAAGGTCATCCCTTACAAAATTTGATGTTCAAATAC